GCTGGATTTTATAGATGATTCATCAAGGATTTCTCCACACTATCCAAGCCCTTGTGTACCATGCTGCAACAGAACCAACCATTTATGTTCGATCAGAAATGTCATGGCGCATTCAAAGAACTGAAGCAAAGACTCATCTCTGCGCCGATCGTAGTTCCCCCAGATTGGACGACCTCGTTCGAATTAATGTGCGATGCAAGTGATTTTACCGTGGGAGTTGTGGTCGGGCAACGTAGAGGTAAGATATTTCATGTTATATACTATGCTAGTCGTACCTTAAATGACGCACAAATGAATTACACTACCAACTGAGAAAGAATTACTTGCCGTGGTATTTGCATTTGACAAGTTTAGGCTATACTTGATAGGCACCAAAGTCATAGTTCACACTGATCATTCAGCTATAAAATACTTAGTGAACAAGAAAGATGCCAAGCCTAGATTGATTAGGTGGATATTACTCTTGCAAGAATTCGACTTAGAGGTAATCGATAGGAAAGGTACTGAGAATCAGGTTGCAGACCACCTATCTAGGCTAGAAAACATTTCAGAATGCCATGACATTTTTTATATTAAAGAAGAATTCCCTGACAAGAAAATTTTATATGCCACGGCAATTTCGTGGTACGCTGACCTGGTTAATTTTCTTGTTAGTGGTGTTTTTCCTTATGAACTAAACAGCCAGAACAAAAAGAGGTTTCTGCATGATGCCAAGTTCTATTTTTTGGGATGAGCCGTACTTATTCAAGCAATATTCCGATCAAATAATTCGCTGGTGCGTCCCCGAAGAGGAGCAACGTGATATCTTACACCACTGCGACACAACAAGAAAGTTTTATGTTTTACCATATATTTACTTATTCTTTAGCATCATCTGGTATTTCTGTATTAGTAAGCTTTGAGTTACTTACCATTTCATGTTAAAAAGGTTTGATTTGTTCAATTATCGACATCAGTAATGGGAGTTCCTTCAGCGTAACTTACGGAGTATGATACTCATATAGTTAGGAGACATGCATGTCACATTTGTTTTTATATTGAGTCTGAAACTTGTATGATATTGTATACTATTGAAATTTCCGTTTTTAACATATGAACAATTTTTCTGAACTTGTATGTTTATTTATAATTGTTTTACTGTTTAAAAGGTTTAATAAAAAAATTAATTTTTCTTAGCTTTTGACTGTTAAACGGTCCAGTAGCTCTAACATTGATATGAGGGTGTTTTAGTCAAACATTGCATTTTGATATTTCAATCCGGGTGGATTTTTTGGATTGGTTCTTAACATGCATTGTGGTCCCATTGAATTGTACTCATGATAACTTAGAGCAGCTAACGTATGCTGTTTTTCATGTGATTCAATGGAAGCCTATTGTCTTGTTAATATAGCCTCCAAAGCGCAGAACTTTGGGCTCATTACCACTTTCCTTTTCCATTCATCTAAGGATAGAACCCGTGATGGATTAAAAATATTTTTTAAAGATAAACATATGTATTAATAAGATAAAAATTTGTATGATAAGTACAAATAAAATTTAAAAATAAACACAATTAATAAAATAAATAATTTAATTTTAGAGGAAATACATATTCATCCTCATCCAGCACCGAATAGACCGAGAAACTAAGAAGACTATCGTTGTATATAAATTTCTTGAACACATGGAAACTTATTAAATGAATCAAAATCTTAGTAAGGAAAGCGATATATGAACAAAATGTATCATGTTAATCGTGTTAAATATGTGCGTTACGTGGAAACTTCAAAGAGTAATCGACTGTTAATAATAATGAAACCCGACAAGACATCTTTGGGGTTATGGTTTCTAGCTGTAATAGCACCAACAAACATATTTTAATGTGTAATGCTTTAGGTAAGTTAATATTTTAAGAACAAATCAAAGGAACGCCATAATTATTCCAACCTTTTTCGTTAATAAACAAAACACAAATGGGAGGGTGGCTCTGCTTTCACGTGAAGTGCGAAGCACAAAGGGTAGAAACTGATGAAATAAAGGGTCCTGTCTGGGTAATCTCGACGAAGGAAATTTATTGAAGATTGGTAGATGTTTGGGTAAGATTGGAAGAATATGATATAGGTTCAGAAACTGGTTACCGTCGCTGCTGTTAATGGAATAGAATACAATTAAGCTGTCTTCTGTTAAATTATTAAAAATATTATAATTATTTATATTTAATTAAAATGAACAATTAAAAAATTTAATAAATTTGATCAAATCGAATTGATTTGACTTTTAGGTCATAAAGGATTCATTTATGGTGAGGAAACATTAAAAAATAACAAAACGAAGTATTATAAAGAGAGAGTATATAGAAAACATCAAATTAGACCTTAAAGAGAAGTACAGTGATAAGGGATGATGTCATCTATTTTTATATTTTTTTTGATCTTTATTTCTATAAATAAATTATTTATTTTTCTCATTCTTATAAATAGATAAAATAAAATCACTTCAAGTATTATCTATTATATGAATCTTATTTTATATTAATCATATTCTTATTATTTTTTTGTGTATAAATTTCTAACAACCTTCGGAGTACATTTGTTGACACCCAAATTCGAATTCGATATAAGTCTGGATGATCTAAGTGTCACACATAATCACTAAAGTAACTAACCCACAATTTTAAAACATGTTTCTTTCCATTTTAAAACATATTATGTGGTACCAAATATGACATACTAAAACAGTTGCAAAATAATTTTATAAACCGGAGCTTCATGACACATATTTCAAATCAAATAACACAACTCAAAGTTTACAAATCGAATACACTCTCACTCGGCCCAACGACTTTAATTGTAGACTCCAAGAGGTCCATATACCTCTCGGGTAGATCCCAAACTAATAACTCAAAATTTGGGGTGTTATATTTGTACAAAAATAGAATAAAAATACAAAATAAAGATAAATGTGGCTACAATCTGGCGCAGACACAAAATTTTATGTTATGAGAGCGTACTTGAACTTTTAAAATTTTAAGGACGAACTTGATCTTATAAAATTTCAGAAGGATGGAAACAAATTTGTAATAGAAAATAAAAAAAATAAAATGCTCAATACAAAAATAAGTGGCCAAACTATATTTCGAAAAATGTTTTAGTGTCTAAAGAAATTTTCGCTAAAAATAAGTGTCTAATGTTTCCAACGTTATACTTTTAGGTGTCTGGGCATTAACCGTCATTAAAAATCTTCGTTAAGTGACACATGTCATATTCTGGTAATTTTGAGAATTTATTTAAAAAATAAAAAAATAAAAAAAAATTATTAAAAAAACTAAATAACCCGTACTCCCCTCCCCCTCTCCTTCTCCATTCCCCCTTCCATAATCATTAGCCAGCTATGATCGTCACCGTCACCGCTACCATCATCAACACCATCGTCAACCCCTGATCAAATTCTTGTTGCCTTTCGTCGTAATCTGCCACCGTTTATCGTGGAGAAACGTTCTAAGATTCATCAGATTTTAAGTCACCTTCGTTGTTCTTCATCAACTCTGGCTGATCTTGACGTCCATAAGCCACACTGCCACCATCATTTGATCTACTGTGCAATTCCGATCAAAACCCAAGTGGTCGTGTTCCTCGCCATCACTTTGTCTGTGCTCCTCCGTCGTTCCATTGTGGGGATTAGGATTTTAAAGGATTAGGGATTTGGATATTGGGAATTTTAGAGATTTAGGGGATTTGGGTGATAATAAGGGTGACAATTAATCAATGGGTGGGGGATGATGAGTGGGTGATCGTTCGGCTATAATAATGGTAGCCGAAGATGGCCGACGACGATTGGTAATGGTGATTGAAATGAGAGATTTTAGTTTTTTTTAATAAAAAATTAGGGTTTTTATAAATAAATTAAACTTTTTTCTTCTTTTAAAAAATATTTTTATTATTAAAATTTAAAAAATATAACAGTAGGAACCTAAAAATATAACCGAGAAAATGTTATATGCCTATTTTTAATAAAAAATTATTTAAATACCAAATCGTATTTTGAGGTAAAGTTAAAATATTTATTTTATATTAAACCAAATTTGGAATAATAATAATAATAATTTAAAATTTTTAAATGATACGACCGGCCAATCCGCCGTATCGATTCATCTTTGACTACAATGATTGTTATTACGGTTGTTCTGAAAACATTGTACTATTTTCGACTACTAATAATAATACAAATATTGAGTTTATTTATATACCAAGTAAAGAATTGCTTATAAAGAAAGAAGGTGAGTGGGTCCAAGCGTCACGTGGAGGATGGCATAATGTCCACGTAAGAGACAAACGAGTAAAAAATGTCAGCTCCACCAATCAAAGACGTCGTTCCACGTGCCACTTTGGTCCCCGCCAAACAATCTATGATATCGTTCATAGTATCAAAATAATAACAACAAAGTTTTATTATTTTATTTTCCAATTCAAAACTTATCCAACATAATCAGGGACAGACGTTATAAGCGTATTCGATTTAATTAGATTTTATTTATTTTTATAAAAGATTAATTAAATTATATTATGTAATTTTTAAAATAAAATAAAATTGATAAAAAAGCAATTTTTGATTTATTAATTCGTTTTTGTAATTTTTATCAGATTTAATTAAAAACTATCAAGTTTAGATCAAATATAAACACACAAATTTAAATTTATAAAATAATATTATTAATTTTATTTAAAATTGATTTGATTTGAATATATTTTTTAATTTGATTTAATTTGAAATAAATATGTTATATATGAAAAAAATTAAAATTATTAAATCGAATTATTAAATATAAATCCAATAATAAAAAAAATTGAACTAAATTAATCCATATAATATAATTTAGATCAGTTTTTCGATTTTCTTACTCATCTTTTAACGGATGTAAGGTCTTATACTGAAAAACAAATTTCTAAAAATTTTGATCATTCCTGCATTTAATATATATATATATATATATAGGGCATTCTCTTGAATTTTGAAATCTGCCATGTTATCCCTTCTCTACCCTCTTACTTTCTATTTTTCTGTGACCCTTCGTTCTCTAGTTTCTTCTTCATCTCTCTTATTGATATGCACTTTCCCAGTTTTCCAGATTTCTAGTTCTACCTATAACCCTAACTCCAGCTGAAGAGCTTCTATTATGGCTGACTCCTCTTCGTCTTCTTCGTATATCCACATGGTAAATCTTGTATTTATTTATATTTTTGTTGGTTAATTAAGATGATCAAATATGATTTTAAGAACAATATATAAACGCAGGTGCACCGTCTGATAGAAGAATGTTTGATATTTAACATGAGCAAAGAAGAGTGCATGGAAGCTTTGTCTAAGCATGCAAATATAAAACCAGTCATCACTTGTACAGGTAATTTGTATATTTATAAATGGAAGAAAGGGTTTTGCATTACTACATAATAGAATCTGTGATTTGATTACAGTTTGGAATGAGTTGGAGAAAGAGAACAAAGACTTCTTTGAGGCTTACACAAAGGGAAGCCATGAAAGAGCTACTGAAATACAGAAAAGACAGGATCCAGAACAGTCTGAATGCTTACACAAGGGAGAATAATGGCAGGACTGATTCAGCCATTTAAAGTACGGTTAAAATTGCAATCTTATTTTCGGTTACATTTATTAAAACTACGATGATAATAATAGGTGTTATTACGATATCGTGATAGTATAATAACAGTTTCAGACAACAGATGGATTAATTATCAAGAATCAAGGATTCATCTGTTCTTCTCCGCATATAGTTTTATCGTTTTAGAATAAAACTTCACAGACAATTCAATAGCGACGATTTTTTAATTATATAGTGGCGTTTTTAAGCACCGCAAAAAAACTTCTTAATATAAAAAAAGCATCACGAAAAACACCACTAAAGCTAATATCACAAAAACTAGTGGCTTTTGTAAATCAAAAACACCCCAAAAGGTTAGATCATTTAGCAACGTTTGTGAATAAAACGCTATATACCATGATATTTAGCGGCGTTTGTGATAATAACACACCACAAAATGTTAGGCCATATATTGGCGTTTGAGAGCTAAAATGTCGCAAATGTATAGTCCTTTAGTGACGTTTTTCATCTTAAAATGTTGTTAATCGAAACTATTTTACAGATATTAAATTTAATATATCCTATAACAATATCCAATAATAACCTTGATATGACTCGAATTAAGTAAAAATATTTAACAACATAAATAAATAAAAGTTTACAAGCATTCAAGTAATGTAGTTCAACATTCAAGTGAAATGTAATACAATTTAACAACTAGAATAAACAAGGCATGAACCTAAGAAATCACATAGGGTAATGAATTTCTCATTTGATTTTGCTGCATCATCTGCTTCACAACTTCAAGTTGTTTTTTAAGTTCATCGTATTTTTCTGATATGTTGCTTCTCTTTACTTCTCTCGCTTCAGCTTCGTCTTTCAGTTGAGCAAATTTTTTATTCATTTCAGTCAACTGTTGTTTTAATCGAATAAATTATGTTTGAGAAGATTGACTCTGTGATAGCATGTACTGAGACAAACTAGATTCAAAAATATTTGGATGGGTTAATAAATTATCCCTGACAAAGAATTCGATCATATCTTTCAAGACCGGAAACTTCAACAATAACTTAATTTTCAATATCGTCCACATTAATGGAACCATAAGATGAACCTATAGCTTCATACTCCATCCTTTTATCACTCAATTTTTCCTAAAAATCAATTAAGAATTTAGAACGAATTCTAACATTACTTAAAATAAAAATGTTATACTATAACTATAAGTATAACATAATTCAAATTTTAAGTCCAATAAATATACCATGATTTCTATAGCTTCAGGAGCTATAGGGGAGACATTTTTTTTGTATGTGTCATTTTGAATAACTTTATTCATCCAACTTTATTACCAGACGTAATTTCCTACAATGTATAATATAAATTAGTACTTACAAAAAATAATAAATAATAGGAAAAAATATTCGTCACTATTGAATAATCATAATAATAAAAAAGAATACTTCCTTATGAGTTACATGAGTAAAGCTCTTCGATCCAGTTGTGTCAGTAAACTTTTATTGTTTCCTATTAGCACAATAAATATGCTCTCGATCACGTGACTTAATAAAGTCAAAATTATAATAACATAATGTTATGTGTAAATTTAATGACGTTTTTTTCTCGAAACGGCGCTAAAAATGTTACTACAAACCTATTTTATAGTAATGCTTCAAAGGGGGAAAATTGCCCCGGTAATAGTCAACAATCCACTAATAAAAACAATCATCACACACTGAAACGTAAAATATCAATCGAAAATTGTTTTTATTCGCTGAAAATTTGCAGACAAATTATATATATTCTATTCTTGTTGTTGGAAACATACAAGCTCATACGAAAGAAAGAATCATGGTAGAGAGACTATTAAACGAAATTATGAAACCTAAAAAAGTATAGTATTATAATCTTATGTAATCAACCCCAAATAATACAATTGTGTTTGTAAAGATATACAAATACATTAAAAAAATTCTAAATATAATTAAATATTAATAAATTATTATAAAAATTTAAAATTAAATTTGCTTTTAATTATATGTTCACTTACAGTATATGATATCATACACTATCATATATATTATTCACTTCGTTCTAGAGTGTTCAAAAAAACCCGAAATCGTTAACCGTAATCGTTAACCAGTATAACCGTTATATTTAACAGGTTAATTAATCGAACCGTTAATATTAAATGGTTTTGGCTAACCGAACCGCTAAAAATGATGGTTAACGATTAAGGTTACGGTTACAAATTTTGATAAACGGTTAACCGTTAATAAATGAAATTTATAATTATATTTATAATTTATTATATTTTACATAAAAAATTTAATATAATTTTCTATTATTTATAATTTATATATATTTTTTAATAAAATTTGTATACAAATAACTTAATATATTTTTTATTTTTTATTTCTTTAAAAATATAGAAACATACTTACACCAATATAATTATATGTTTATTGTTAGATACTAAGATAATGAAAGATGTATTGGAAGATGTGCCTACTTACATCGGTGTAAGTACGTGTTAAGTGCTACACTTTTTTATTTTATTTACTTATACCGTTGTAAGAATGTGTTAAGTGCTACATTTTTTTTATTTTATTCACTTACACCAGTGTAGTATGAGTTAAGTGCTACACTTTTTTGTTTTATTCACTTACACCGGTGTAAGTATGTGTTAAGTGATACACTTGTTTATTTTATTCACTTACACCTATAATCGAACCGTTGATAATGATTAACCATTAGCGGTTATAATGGTTAACCGACCATTTAGGCTAAACGGTACGGTTAACCGTCCATGAACAGCCCTACTTCGTTATACTAAACTTGTCATTTTAAAAATTTAAAAATTTAAAGTTTAATCATTATTATTTTAAATAATTAAATTTTACAAAATTTATATTTAAAAATTTTTTGATTGAAAATTTTTAAAATATATTTTCACGTATTTTTATCAATAATAAATTTTAAAAATTAATGAATCAAAATTAAGAAAAAAATTAAAAAAAAGTTAATAAAAAAAACAGATTTAATGGAACAATATGAATTAACACATAAAACAATGTAAAATTAGTTTGAACTTTGAATGATTGCTTTTAAAGTTTAATTCATATTTTCGAATGCTCACATTTTTTTTAAATTTAACATTTTATTAAAAAAAACTAAATATAAAAACCCTAATGAATCTCCATCCGAATTCCTCCCTCCAACTGCCTGGACCGCCAGCTAGCATGGATTGCGATTTCTCAACCCTCGTCCAAGTCTCTTACAAGGACAAGGTCACCGGGTCCTCTAATGATAGCCTTGATGATGAACTTTATCCATTAGATGACGATGATATAGAAATCCTTTATGAGGATGTTCGAATGAGTGTTATCGATGGCATTCCAGCAATCGACTTCTCAGACCGAGTGTAGGAACTGGCCCTCAAAAGCATGGAGTTAACCCTGGTTGTTAAATCCTCAGCCGCCGAGTCAGTTTCAGCACGGTGTTCAATCGAATATTTAATATTTAAAAGCCTTCCCATCCTCTGAAACTAATCGATATTGAAAATGATTCTTTCTTAGTAAAGTTTGTCTCTCGTAGTGACTATCTCAAAGTTCTCACTGATGGACCATGGACAATATTACGCCATTATATCACTGTTGAACCATGGCCGACTGATTTTAGCACCAATCAATCCCACCCCAATCGCACTATTGCATGGATTTGCCTTCTGGGATTGCCGATCACTAGCTATAAGCGAAGTTTTACTGAAACCATTGGTAGCCCAATTGGTACCATTGTTAAAATCTACTTCTAAACCGATAATGGTAATCGTGGGCATTTTGTTAGAATGGACATCAAGATTAATTTACGTCAACCTTTGATATTCAAAATTCTCATCAACGTAAGAACGCAAGTGGTTGAATATTAATCCCTCTTCGTGGTTTGTTTTGGTTGTGGTATTTTTGACCATACTGAGGTGCTCTGCCCCAAATCGAATACTTCGGATAATATGACAACTGTTACTTTGACTCCCACCCTCATTGTTCCCCCAGCCCCTCAAGAACCTTATGGGCCATGGATACGTGAATAGGAAATTCCAACACTTTTCCACGGTTGTTCCCCCTCCTTCTAAATCCTCACCCAGCCTACAAGGTAATTCATCTAGGGTTAACCCTATTTATAATGTGGATAACAATGAAGCTCTTGCTCCACAGAGAAGACCTTCTTCTGCTCTTCCAAATCAACATATTTCTGGTCATGCAATTGCTTCCAATATTACACCTGTAGCTACTTCATCAAATAATCAACTATATTATAATAATATAAGATATTATATTTTTTTTAATAAATATAATAAATTATTAATAAAATTTATATTACTTATTAATTTCATAGAAATAATATTATTAATTTTTTAATAATGAATAATATTATTTATATATTTAATATTAATAAAATAATATTTTAATAAATATATTTAAAATATACTAATTAATATTTTTAAAATATAATATAACACTATTACTTTAATAAATAATTAATATAATTTATAATATTTTTATTTCAATAAAATATAAAAATATTAATATTTTTATTAATAAAATTATAAAAATAACATTTTAATAATAAATAAATTATATAATATTTTAAAAAAATAATAATAAGTTTTATGATAAATAATATTATTTATTGTATTTAACATTTGTAATAAATAATTTTTAAAAAATTCATGAACTAGTGGAAAAACGCTTTAAACAACATCTTTCAAACATCGTAAAACGTTTTTCAAAAAATATTTTTCATAAAATGTAATTCATTTTACGGTAAACATTTTTCAAAAAAACGTTTTTAGTAAAACAAACGTACCCTTAGTTTACTTCAGAGAGACCTCTCTTATCCTCCCTATACCCGCTTCAAAAGAGCTTAATGTAATGGCTTTTGCTTTATCCTTATTAAAAATATATTTTAAATATTTTAATAGTATTTCAAGATTTTTTAATAAAATAATTTGACCCAAGAATACAATTTTAAACACATATATGGACCGTTTGATTAATGAAATTAAAATATAAATACTATAAATTATATAAATATATTTTA